ACCTGGGAGTGTTGTTGAGTGAAACACTTAGCTTCCAGGAGCATATTGAACAGACAATAAGCAAGTTTAGACAGCGCTGCGTTCTTCTGTGCCATATGGCTGACCGTTTAACAGGAGACATCGTCAGGAAGCTGTACCTTACGTATGTCCGCCCCACAGCAGAATACGCCGCCCCAGTATGGGAGTCCTCCCTCTCTGCTGCACAGCGGCTCACCCTTGAACGGCTGCAAGCCAGAGTAGCTCGCACAGTCATGCGGCTTGAGAGATGCCCTTGCCCATCAGACGAGCCCAAGTCATCATTGTTTAAACAGCTGGGGTGGCCAAGTCTTTCCTGGCGCAGGAAGATCGCCTGCCTTGTGGAATTCTTCCATTTGGTCACCACCCAACCAGAACTTTTTGAAGCAGCGGGATACTGCCCCACGCGTAGTCGCCGCCGCCAACTCGCATTCACTCTGCCACGGGTTGGGAAACACGCCGGGAGGTCATTTCTCTTCCGCACCGCTACTGTCTGGAATGCCTTGCCCGCAGACCTGAGAGCCACAGCCTTGCAGTCCCTGTTTCACAGTCACATTTGCACGTACTTCTCTGACACCAAACACAATGCCACTCCGCACTGACATGCCTCTGTCCTCCTTCTTTGTGCGTTGCGCTTATTCTTATTAATTTTTGTGTTTCTGTTTCGGTACATTTCGTATTTCAAGGCATACCCCGAGGCTATAGGTATCATTGATTAAAGGACCATTCTGGAACATTCAGCATAATTGTATTTCTCTTGCTAGGCTGTTCATTACGAATTATTAGCCCTCCACTGTCTGCTATCTCAACCCTACAGCCTCCCATTATAATGGAACTCCCTTCAATTTAGACTACGTCTTTGGGAAATCCTCAAATATATATAATAATAATAATAATAATAAACACAGCTCGCATCTTCCCTGAACCTGTTAGACAGGAGCAGAGTCGACGCATCTGTCAACAGTGTCAAGCCAAGTTAGTCTATCTCCTGCAGCTTGGAGAGCGCTCTCCACGGAGAGATCCGCTGCCTTCAGGTCGTGCCGAATCGTATCTATCCACCGCAATGGCGGACGGCCACGGGGTTTTTTTATGTCGTTTGTGTTGATTGATAACTCCAGTGCTTGGAACGAGGCGGATTCCGGACCCTCTCGCACCACATGGCCAAACCACAGCAGCCTGCGTCGCCGACATGTGGCACTAACTGGAGATTGTTTTGTTTCTGTGTATAAGTTGTTATTGGTGATGCGTTGCGGGTAGACAATCTGCAGCAGTACGCGTAGCTTCCTCCGTTGCCATTTGTCCAGTTTGTCGTTCAGCAATTTGGACAGAGTCCACAATCCGCAATTGTATAGAAGGATCGGCATTATGAGGCAGTTAAACATACACAGTCGGGATTGAAAGGAATGCCGTCTCCAAGAAATCGAACCAAACGCCCTGTTTGCTTTTGAGATTCTCATGTCCACGTCTTCTGCAGAGCCCAATAGAGAACCCAGGAGTTTGATTGATCTCCATTCGTTGCTGTTTCTTGTAACATCAACATATTCAGTTTTCTGTGTATTGAGCTTGAGGTTGTCTTCGTTAAATATAGGTTCACACTCAGCAACAAGAGCCTTCGCCTCATCGTCATTTCGGTTATGCAGAGTAGTATCGTCAGCGTACTGCGTTGTTGGAGCAGGCATTGGTGAGCGAATTGTGCATCTTTCCCTGATCTTGCGCATTGTGCCTTCTGCATATGTTATGAACATAATAGGGGACATCGGGTCTCCCTGGACCACTCCGATGTTAGTTGGGAAAGGGGGACTCAGGGAGCCACTCAGCTTGATCCTGGCTGTCGTGTTGGAAAGTAGAGACTTGATGGTTGTTGTGCTGATATCTGCTTCCTCTAACCTGTCAAGTGCTGTGGTGCGAATTATAGTGTCAAAAGTACCAGAGAAATCTAGAAGGGTGACGGAATATGTCCAGTTGCCAAGCAAGGCCCGCTCACACAGCGACCTTGTGTAAAATACACCATCAGCGGTTGAGCGACCTGGACGAAATCCAGCCTGGGTTTCAGAGACATAAACGGTGATGTCATCCGTGCTACGTTTAGTAATAACTGACGTCAGCACCTTTCTCACTACAGAGAGTAACATGATGGGGCGATAACTTTTCGGTTTTCCGAGTGGCTTGCCTGGTTTGTATACAGGTACTACCAATCCACTGCGCATATCGTCAGGGCAATAACCAACACTCTGTATTGCATTGAAGAAAGAGGCTAGCCAAGGACTGAGGAGGTCCTTAGCAGCTCGTAGCATTTCCGCACTGACTCCATCGGGTCCCACGGCGCCTCCTTTTTTTTGTTTACTGATTGCTGAAGTGACTTCTTGGGTGGTAAACGGCAATTCCTCATCATTGATATCTTGCGAGCCACGCCACATATATATAATAATAATAAAAAATAATAATAATAGGGAGAAAGCCGAGTGCTTTGCCCAATCCTTTGCCATGAAGTGCAGCCTCGGCTCCAACGATTTCTCTGCCCCTGATCAGCTCCCTGCTATGCAACTTGATGCCGCGGCACCTCAGATCACAGCCATCCACTTTCGTCCAGCCAATGTCCGTCGTCAACTAGCGGCGCTAAATCTGCACAAGGCCACTGGCCCCGATGGCATATCAGCTAGAGTCCTCAAGGAATGCCACAGGGAGCTGGCAGAGCCTGCTGCTCGCTTGTTCTCTTGCTGCTTCAGAGCAGGGGTCCAGCCAGCTTCCTGGAAACTAGCCTATGTGTCCCCCATACACAAGAAGTCCTCCAAGTCAATTGTTTCGAATTATCGACCTGTGTCTCTCCTCAGCATCCTGTTGAAAGTTATGGAGAGTATAGCCAACTCCCAGCTTGTCAACTTCTTGGAACGCCACCGTCTGCTGAATACTCGTCAATATGGTTTTCGTCGTGGCACCGGAGCTGCAGACCTCCTGACTGTCCTACAGTATGAGTGGGCCAATGCCATGGCAGAAGGTGGAGCTATGCAAGCAGTTGCCGTGGACATAGCGGGGGCTTTTGACAAAGTGTCTCATGCTGGCGTACTTTACAAGGCCCGCCAGCTGGGGATAGGGGGGTTCACTGCTCGCATGGCTTACCCACTACCTGCAATGTCGCACCATTAAAGCTGGTGATCATGGCCAGAGCTCATCGGTGCACCCTGTCCAGTCTGGCGTCCCACAAGATAGTATCCTTGGACCTACATTGTTCCTCGTGTACGTAAACGACATTTCAAGCTGCTTGTCGCATGGCACAAACCTGAACACTTTTGCTGATGATACAACTTTGTACTTCCTCCTTGACCAAGCCTCGAATGCCTCACTACAACGCAGCCTGGATGAGCTTCATGCCTGGGGCAAGAGATGGAAGATTGCGTTTGAGCCATCAAAATCGCAAACTATCACTCTGTCACGCCAGCGGAAGGATACAGTGACTCCCCAGCTGTCATTTGGCGGAACTCCTCTCCCACCAGACGAATCTGTGAAGGTGCTCGGAGTGACGTTTGATTCTAAACTGAGCTACAGACTCCACCTTCGGCAAGTGGCATCACGTGCTAAGTAGCGGCTGGGCCTCCTGCGGAAGGCAGCACCCCTCCTCAGCCACGCGGGCAGGGTGACTGTTTACACAGGATTCGTCTGGCCAATGCTGGAATATGCCCCCCTTGCGTGGACGGAATCAGCTCCCTCACACCTGGCCATGCTGGATGCTGTCCAGCTCCGCGCCCTAAATGTCATTGGCCCTGGTACCATTCTTCCCAGCCTCCTTGTTCGGCGAAAGGTATCTGCTCTCTGCCTACTGTACAAACTGATGTGTGGCCATGGTCTGCCTCAAGTTGCAGCCATGTGTCCCCCGCCGGCTATACCGCCACGTCATCGCCGCACACGAGCAGCCCAAGCACAGCACCATCCCCACCAGCTTGAGCTGAATCTCTCGCCACGAGCTCCTGATTACCTTCTGTGCTCTTTCCCATACTGCATCGTGCCAGTGTGGAATAGACTGCCACAGGCAATTCTGGACAAGCAGCCAGCCCGGAAATACCTGCAGAGATTCAAGATTGCTGCATACCGTCACCTGCAACAGAGTGACTGGTGCTCTGCTCATGACTGGTGCTAGCCATGCACATGTATCACACTGGCCTGCCATCAGTGGACGCAAATCATTATGTTGACCCTCTTCTCAAAGTAGCATTATAGTCATAGCGACGATATGCCGCTGAACTCTTTCTCTCTCTATACTTATATCTCTCCACCTCTTTCACTCTCTTTCCCTCACTTACCCATCTGTCTGTTTCTCTCTCTCTCTTCTTTCTTGGG